TATACTTTTACACGGTGCAAATTGAGCCGCTTTGGTGTAAAGTTTACAACACAACTCTAGCCGATTCATTTTGAATTCTTCATTACCCGCTAGCCGAGTTTCATTAGATTTAGTCAAGTTTTTTAGACTTTCATTAAACTTTGAATCATCCAACCATTTTTCTAGACAACTTCTATGATATGGACATTAATACCACAGAGTCAATAAAATACAATGATGTTATAATAAAACAGTTGTAAATAAGAAATGATGTACCTACCTGATAAATTGATTTTGCATACAGAGATTTATTTTTTCATTATTGGCAGTATGCTTAAATGTTTCCATAAAACCATTATTTACACCATAATGGGTTAAAATGTCCATTAAATTTTCCCATCGAATAAACGTGTTTACAGGCATCATTTTTAATCTATGATCAGTCAAAAATTATATGCTTGTCTAGTAGGTACACTAATAGTGGACTAGTAAATTATAAGTGTTCTTCAGATTTCAGTCGTTCAGAAATCAAATATTCTCAATTCACAACAAACTCCTGTATTCAATAGCCCTACAATAGAACCGTGAATACCTATTTAGTATTTTCGTTGATGTCACTAAAAATTTTAACTTTTTTTTTAATTTCCAAAAAATGTCATCAAATTTACAATTTTTTAACTACTACAACCACTAAATCACATAATACCGAATTCTGTGCGCAACCATGGTTTAAGATAGGTATTATCTTATATATTACAAGCCGGTCTACAGATTACACAAATATCTAGACTTTTGAAGTAAATAATATATAACTGTAATCTGTATGGCCTCTTATCGCCTATCGGTACATTTTCAGTTACATATTATCAGCACATAATCACGACAATTCCTTATCATTAAATCAGTTATAATATCTTAAAACTTTTATTTAAATTTTAAAATATTAATTGTTAATGGAAAATATAAGTGACAAATTAAAAATTGTTTTCACTAAATTTCAAGGTTAAGACTAAAACTATTTAATACAAAGAACTAAATAAAATTAATTGGAAAGAAAAAGAAGAATTGGCCACTTCGACACTTTATGTTCACCGTAGAGGTTCAAAAACCATGACAAGTGACAACCAAATTATGTCGTCATGAGCCTGGAGTGTTTAAAACTCAGAATAATGGGAAACGTCCGTTAAAATTAACTGGATCTTGTAAAATAGGTAAATATATGTTATTAGGCATTAGCACATTTTATGGTGTTCATGATTTTTAAATCAATGTTTCCTTCCTTATACGAGAACTGTATTGGCTTGCATAACTTAGAAGCAACATACTCTGAGACTCAATTTGGACATCAAATTGAAATGATTAAAAACTGTTTTATGCCTACATAGCATATTATTTTATATTACATATCTGTCCATATCAACTATTGATTAAATAACAATTGCTATTAAATATTTATATAATTATTTATTGGTTCCTAATTAGTAATTAGTAGAATACAACTTTAAATTTAATTTAATACTCCGAACATATTTTTTATAGTACCTATTACCTAATACCTATTGACTATTTTTTCCAAATGAGTAATCAAATTTAAAACTTTACGAATACCAGTATTCAATCTTATCCACCATCCGATGAAGGCGGAGATGTTAGCGTTGCGCGTGCGCAACAGAGTACAGACGTCGACATTCTTATATTTCTTAATAAATTCTTATCGAGTCCGGTTGTTTACGTCGTTACGGCCTCCGGGGTTTTGACACAGCGACGGCCTATTGGCGATTACAATTTATGAACCCCGGTGATATTATGATAATATTAATTATATTTCATGTCTAAACACAATCTTTAAGTCTATACCTACTTCTAACCAAGCACAATGACCGTTCTGGCATCACTCCCGGTCTCCGACTCGCTACTTAGTGTTAGTTATCTATACGACTCCGCATTCCTTGGTCGACATGCGTTTTAGCGTGTAGATTGTACGGGAAGTCGATCGCTCTCCACTCTATCATTAGTTATTATTATACAAGATATTATTGTGGTATCGTACCTACTAGGATTTAGTTTTCATCAGTTGGATTTGGATACATAAACAAGTTAACTAATTGGATTTGACGCGTGCCAAAACGTGAGTATCGCGACTTAGATATCGTGTTGAGCTATCGTTATTCAGCCTATTAAACAATATTTCATTTACACGACAACAATACAATATCATGATAAATATTGCACTTTTTTTTTTTATTGAACTTAAGCCCGGTGACTAGGGCCATTAGCTGTTGTAAGGGCTTACCCCCTACTACTTGGTATGGTAGGTTATTTTTTTTTACGATTGTTACAGTTGATAGCAAACACGTGTATGTGTGGCGAGGTTTTTAATCACTATGATCCCGGGCGGTCACCCATCCGGTAGCTAGTAGTGTGGCCGTTACTTACTCTCAGTTCTCAGTCGTATTCCACGACTGGTAACAGGCTACGCGCCACGCCAAGCCACAAATATTTGAAATATTATACTCATCAGGCAGTTCAGACGGCTTTTACGGCGTAGGTTTTCCGCGATTTGTTTAGAAAGCCCGTGTTTTCATGTGTAATGTTGAATATTAGTGTGCCAATGTTTTATTTATTTCGTCCACTGATGTTTCAAAATCTTTATATATCGGATAGTTATTTATTAATTGTTCGCACTCAGAAGTCGTGGTCTTTTACTAATAAATATAAAATATAGTATATACCAAATAATATAAATTGTACTCATGTTTATAAAACCTAATGCTTATTTATATGGACTCGGTCTGTCGGACTGGTATGAAAATTCAAAATCTAAATTTGGGAGGCTTTTGAAGAAAATGTATAGATATCGGTGTCCAATGATATTTTCTTAAACTACAAAAAAAGTCCCACTTAAAAAAATTGCTACTCGATACTCATAGTTCATACTTCATTATCTATAATTTACTGACACAATAAAAACATTTCACGATTTATTAAATAAATTCGAAAGGACAAAATGGAAAATTTACAAATTTGTAGTCATTTTACACATTTACATGAGCATTTTTGTATAAATGTACCTATATCGTGGCATCGATCGTTTTGATAATTCTATATTTCAAAATTTCCAATTAAAAAAAATAAATTTATAAGAAACAAAATTTATAATATAAATTAGCCATTATGTAGATAAGATAATATTCTGGTTATCTTAATTCTTAATACATACCTGAGGCGAATGGCGATATGGAATTCTTGTATTGACATATTCTGTCTTTTTATATAAGTAAAGTTAGTTATATGGTATAAATATTATAATTATTAATAAAATACATACAGACTATATTATTGATAAAAATTGTAAATTCAGTATAAATATGAGTATACAATTATGAATAATATAATTCATAAATACGTGACAATTAAGTTGTTTATTATCTAAAAAAAAATTATTTAACTCTGTGCCTGAAATATAAACTATGTATATTTTATTTTATGGCATTGTGCATTTGTGTGATTGGGCTTACTCGTTTAATAACAATTTGTTTACTATAAATAGGATTATCTGGGATATCCTCTGTAATTTGTCCAGTAGTAATTAAATATTTGGATTTCCAACATGATGTTTTCTATTGATATTATATATATTTGTATGTTAAATATTGTTTGTATAATGTATTATTGCTAATTGTAAATCTGGTAAATAGTAGGTACCTATGTTTCTGAATTATGTTTAGTAATCTATTTCAAATATTTCAATACGATCTTAAAAAAGTATATATAGTTATAAAAACCATGAAAGTAGCTTTATTGTATAAACTTATTTTAACTATTACAAAAAGTGCTATTAAACAGAAAAAAATCCGTTACTTAGCTCTGGCCAGAATCTAAAGTATCTTGTAAAATAATTGGAAAAACATTCTAGTTGTAAAAATAATATGGTATATTTTTTATATGAAATGATTACTAGTGTGGGTACTGATTTATTTATGTTTTAATCGTACAATTAATTAATGTTATTTTTTTAGACAAAAGTCTATGTTTTTTATGAATTTATGATTATTATAAATAATGACCCTAGTATACTATAAAATAAATAAACATAATACCTTAGCTAAGATAAATGTAATTATTAATAGTCATTAATCACCTAGGTATATAAATACTAGAATACATAATAATTTTAGGTCCTCATTATCTGTTAATATGGTATGTTTAGATATTTGACAAAAAAAGTTTTCTTTTATTATACATATTTACTTAAAGAAACAACAAAGGAAATTATCTGGTAGCAATATTTATACAATTTATTTAAAAGTTCTTGCAACATATAACACATAGAATTTGCTAACCAAGGTACTAGGTAGTATAGTATTGAGCTATAATTGTATTCATATTTTAGTCTTATTATATTATTAGATTATCTATGCATTTAATAATTAAATTGGCATTGGTCATAAACATATCATCTTGATTAGGTGTTAATGTAATATAATGTAAGATTAGTTGCTAATTATAAACTTTAATCATAATAATTTAATATAGTTTAATATTGCATAATCAAGTGTTTTATTGCTATCTACTTAATTACAAATAATAATGATAGCTATAGTTCTTATAAACACTGTAATCAATAAGACATAAGTACAGTACATAATATTTACAATTACATTGGGTATTTATAATAACCAAAAAATTATTTTATAGAAACGTTCAATTAAATAGATGATTTGAACATTTTTTTATGACATGTTTCAAAAATTTAATTTATTCAATGAAATAAAATAATATTATATTTTTTGACTTAAAGATTTTTAAAAACATATTGACCGCAATATTTAAACTTAACACATTAATATTATTATTTCAGATATACATATTATTAATACTTTATTAATTAATATATTTTTTTTTTTTTTTTTGGTATAGATTTAATTTTTGAATTAATTAATGTAACAACTATAATTTTTAAAATTAGTTGTTTTGCCTTCATTGAACAGTACCTATTATATTGAAATTATATTTTCATAATGGAAGAAGAAAGGTAATAAATTATAAATCAAAAGTAATAAATATTTATTATTTGTTTAATAATTTATTTATTGATGTATCTATAGTATGAAACTAAATGAAAAAAAAATACATGTACTTGAAACGGAAGAAGTTCAAAATGAAAATAAGAAAACATTTAATTGGGCTGAGGTAATTTTATTATAATGATATTCATTAATGTATAATTTTTTAATACAATTGTGTGATTAGTTTTTAGCTTGTGTGTCTGTGTCAACTACTAACTTACATACAGGATTTGCTTTGGGATTTTCTGCAATACTTATCCCACAACTTGAAATAAACACTGATGATATAGGAAAATTAAGCAAATCGCAATGTTCCTGGATTGGTAAGAATCATTTTTTAGTTTATTTTAAATATAATCATAAATTCTTGTTTTGTATCTCTGACTGTGATTCAATCATGTTTTTTTTAAAACTTAAAAATATAAATTTTTATTATGTAGTTATAAAGCCTATAAAGGTAAAATATTTATGATTTATCTATAGCTTTAATATAAATATAATTAATAAACATAATGTCTTGATAAATGTTATTAAAAATTTAAACAAATAAAATGGTGGTATTTGCATATTATATATTTTATTAAACTAAACATTCATGTTTTCAATATTTATGAGTTATTTTATAATAGAGTAATATTATTTGACTAAAAACAAATATGTCTCTTCTACTTTAGCTAAAATAATATTGTTTGAATAATATACAGCTATAAAATTATGGTAAGTTATTTATAACTTGCATTACTTACCAAAATTCTCAACTGTAATTATTAAAATTTTAAAAAGTGAATAATCCATATACTTTTTTTAAATAAAAATTATTTTTAAGACATTTTATTTTCTATAAATTTATAAATTTAACGGTTATTGATAAATCATTTACTAAAATTTACAAGGATTTTTTTTCTATATATAAATTTTCAGATGTTCTTATGTTTACATATAGCCAGCAGTATTTCAATAGCTGCTCCATTTGGATGTCTGTTTATAGCTTTAGCACTAGACAGATTTGGCCGTATATTCACGTTTAAATTTTCCTTATGGCCATGTTTTATTGGATGGATGTTAATTGCTCTTGCATTTGATCCAAGTATTATCATTATTGGACGATTATTGACTGGATTTGCAATGTGTATGATAATTATTTAACTAAATATTTAAATATTTTACTTTATACCAGACTATATTTTATATTTAATACTATATTTTTAGCTACTGGTACAAACTCTGCCAATGTGTATATGGCAGAAATATGTAGTCCAAAACTTCGAGGTTCCATGATGTCAATAGGTTCTGTAATGTTATCTTTTGGTAGGTTATTAAATTACTCATTATTTTTTTTATTTAAAAATTAAAGTATATCAAAACTGAATTAATTATTTTTTTATTTAGGAATATTATTAACATATTGCACTGGGTTATATCTACATTGGCGTACTGTAGCATGGATAGCATTTGTTGGAGCATTTTTTCCCGTTCTCATGACATCATTTTGGACACCTGAAAGTCCGGTTTGGTTAATTTATAAAGGACAAGATGTTAAAGCTTTAAAGTCTTTAAAATATTTTAAAAACTCTAAATATGTAAGTTATTTCCAAGGACATTTTTTACAATATGTATATTTTTATTTTTGAATATTGTTATACATTTATTTATTCAAAATTTTGTTTTTATAGAGTGTAGGTGTACAAGAAAGTTTTAATGAGTTGAAAACTATCAAAGAAAAAAAAGATTTATTAATTAATAAAGATATTGAAAATTGTAATATATTTAGGCGTATTTCCTGGCATTTATTTAAGCCAACTGTTTTTAAACCTGCACTTTTTATGATATTTCTCTTTGTTTTACAACAATTTACTGGAATTTATACATTTCAATTCCACGCTGTTAAAATGTTGCAAGTAATTAAAATATAGTTAAATATTGTCATTACAATTTTTTAATAATTCATTTTTTTTAATATTAAAGGAAGTTGCTCAAGGTATCGACATCAAATATGCTACTTTACTATTTGGGTTGTTTCGGTTCTTATTAAGTTTTGTGGCAACTGGAGTGTTACATAATTATGGTAGACGTCCACTGTGTATGATAAGCGGTATTATCATGGGAATTTCCTTGTTTATTTCTGGATTATGTTTTTATTCAAGAACTAAAGGTATAATTTATATTAAGTGATGTCTAATAAGTATTTAGTATATTATATTTTTTAAGGATTTAATTTAATTTTATATTATCCGTAATATTTAATATGCTTGTTGAATATTTGTGCAGTATAATTTGTATATTATTTTAATTATTTTAAATTTTTAAAATGACAATTGATTTTTATTCTCAAGTAAATTAAAGCACACAACATAAGTCATTTCATAGCTAACCTAACTGAAGGTTAACCTTAGCTATCATTTATCAACATAAAAATACATTTGAGAAATAATAAAATAAGTATTACAACATGATTTAAATAATTAAATTTAAAATTGTATTGGCATTCTGAAGATCAAGTATCATGTCTTAGATTAGGTTTGAGAACTGAGCAGAGTGTTAGTAAAGTTAACTAAGAGTAGTAAAGTATTTTACCATATTATTGTTAAAGTTAATTGTTGAAGTATCATTTCAAAAATCTTACAAAATTTCTCAAGCTGTGATGTAATGTATACAATATTCAGAGTATAAAATAAATTTCTTAAATATTACAAGCACCTACTTTATTTTAGTAATAGGTATCAAAATAAACAAACTATATTTTATTAATAGATGTATCTGTAGAATTTTAATGTAAATAATATTGAAAATACATGATACTATCATAAGTAATGGTTTTAAAAACAGAAAATTGATTTGATAAACATTAACGAGCTACACTTATCTTGGTACTAATTTATGATTTATAATCATAAAAATCTATTTTTTTTCTTATCGTTATTTGAGTTTATTTTAATTTCATACAAGAAGATAGAATTTCTTTTGAGAAAGTGTATTTCATAATTCTACCCCAACATCTAGAACATGATTTGAGGGGAAAATGTCTTCAACAATGAACATATAAATTAATATATTAAAGTAAATGATTTACATGCAAGGTGTTTAAAAAGTTAAACAATTATTAAATTAAAATGCTGTGTTCATTTATAGCTGGGAATAGGCAAAAATGTAAACATATTGTTTCATTATTACTGATTGGGAAAGTAGTAAAAAATATATGGTGGTTAAATAATTTAATTTGAATAGTGTAAGTTTTATTACACTAATTTATTATCCAGATTTGGTAAATAATAAATTAAATATTTGACTGCGAGTTGCTTTATTGCAGCTGCATGGTAGTTTTGCTTGTTAAAATGTTACTATCAGTAACACTTGCTTGAAATTTTCCACGCTTCTTAATAGTTATTAATGTTAACCATACCTATTCAGTTTTAGTTTAATTATATTTATTTATTATTTTTTTTTTTTGATAGGCGATGAAAGTATTATTATCACATGGGTATCATTATTGTGTATGTTACTATACATTTCGGCTGGCTCTGTGGGTATAATGCTGATTCCCTGGATATTGCCTAGTGAAATGTTTCCAACTGAAGTTAAGGGATTACTTGTTGGACCAATAATGGCTTGGTGTAATGCAGTCATGTTTGTAGCAGTACATTTTTATGAAGATCTTAAAGGAATACTGGGCGGTATGCTGGGCATTTTGTGGTTCTATAGTTTCATATCAATACTAACAGCGTTTTTTGTATGGCTGTTTATTCCTGAAACACATAAAATGAAATTATCTGAAATAGAAGATTATTTTAAAGATAATACTATTTATTTACTAAAAAAAAAAAAGACTGTAAAAGATCAACAATTGTAATATATTGATACCTATTTTTATTTAAAATAAATCTAGTAAGTTGTATATGGGAATTACTTTATACATACAAACTTCACTTAAAATAATTACTTTTTTAATAATAAATTTCAATTTAGAAAATATTTTTTAATTATAGTATTAATTTTATAATATAGTGTATATAGATAAGACTTTCAGTACTAAAATGACAGTTGAAGTACTGGCTCCTATTGTAGTTTGATTAATGAGTAGTGGTATTCAATTAAAATAGTACACTGGTGATCTACTCAGTTATAATAGCTGTCAGCTGATTATTAAAAAAATGCCAGACCCGCATGTGTTATATCTGTTATATATACATACAACATTTAACACAAGAGCAATTATTGTCAATATGTAGTTGTGAGACATATGTAAATCGTGCAAGATGATTGAAGAGAATATTATACCAATGCTTACAAATTTTCAACATATTATAACTTTGTAAGTTTACAAAAAGTAAATTTACCGAGTTCAACGAAGGTATGATATTGGTTTGGTCAGTCTAAATATTTAGATATCAGTTTGAAGTAATTGATTTTATAGAAGGGTTCAAAAATCTAAAAAGACTTGGAACTGAGAAGAACAAGTCAATTTGTTGAACATATTCTATAGGCCTAGCCAAACAGCTGTGCTGTAACATACTTTGAAATTCAAATGTAGACGGAAAACGCCGGTTATATTTTGATATTTTCTTTTATTTTTATTTTTTTATTGACCAGCTCCATACAATTTAGAAATACACTGATGTACCTATACGTAAAACTTTACTTTAGTAATGATTTAATCAATGGTACAACTTATATAATAGGTGTGTATTTTAATATATACGTAAAATGTGAACTTTAAGTTTTGAAAATGTTTCCATTTATTGTTGACATGAATTTTAATATAATATTTAATAATACTTCAATGTTAAAATTACAAAAAAAAAAAAAATTAAAATTAATAATGGTAGCTAGGTATTATCCCTTATTAGGTGATTGTAAATTCCACTAATTTCAGGTACCTAGTCGATTTTTGGGTTAAATCACAGATTAAATAATCTGATCTGAGATTATTTAATCTGTGGTTGAATTTTAAACATGTAAATTTCATTGGTACGTATTTTTGACCTGAAAACTCCACTTTAATTAGGCTAAATTCGAAATTTATAGGTTATAGGTTTCATATTATACAAAGTTGGTGGAGAGCAATCCAAAAATTTTGTTAAAGAAAGAGTATAAAACAGAAATTGAAGTAGGTAGGTGATTGGCTTAAAATTTGCTTTGGAATGGTATTTTTAGACTCTCAAGACATTTTAATTTTGGTGGAATTTACATTTTTTTTTAGGTAAAAAAAACAAATCAGTGAAATTTACATAAAAAAAGGCCCATTTATCAAACCTACCTATATATAATTTTATTTTTTCTCATTCGATAATAACGACAGCTTGTATAAAATAGATATAGAAAATTATAACATATTGATTTTTATTATTTCAAGATTATTATTTTAATCTTGACTGATAAAATGTAATGACAATATAATACAGATATCAAATTATACCTTAGTCATCGCTTTACTACCACCAAGAACATTTCGCTGTTTTTCTGGTTTTGTTTGTATCTTACTTTTTTTTATAAACAATGTTTAGTGAGAAAAATCGTAGTTATTTTGTAAACCATGGTTATGTATGGATATAAATTTCGTTTCCATAAATGTTTGAAAAATAATGTTGATTGATATTGCTGTACTAAATAGACTTATAAAGCTGTATTAAATTAAATACAAATAATATAATTATTAAAAAAGTTATGAATCATAACCGCGAAAAAGGTAGTGATGAAATATTAGTTAAACAGACAGACTGTAAATAATAAAAAAAAAAACGGAATGTAAAACTGTTAATGATATTATTGATATTAATAAGGAGCCAAGTAAATTATTCATAGTCACCTTTTACGAAACGTAGATACTTTGACATTAATAAGAAAAATATTCACTGTGTTCGAATTTTCGATCATTTATTATGCTAAAGTTACCTATGGATTTGAAAGAATTAAACATCTCTCTAAATAATGTGAATAATTTATTAACAAAAAATCGTAATGAAAATATTTTACTCGTAAACAACAAAACATCAAACGCTTAATTATTTTCTACTATAAATAATTAAAAATGTTCGAGGAGAGTTGATAAAAATCTTATAGATAGGAACTTTTAGAAAGTTGTCAGAAATTATTTGCCCAAATGTTTACAGTTCATGGTTCACAAATTGGTAATTATTTACCAATCTTATTTTTGTACTCCCAATAAAGAAATTAAAACGCATACGAAAAGGTATTTATGCACATTATATCTAAATGTAGTAAACTTAACATAACATATTTACCAAAAACAATTTTTACTGAATTTGAGAAGTCAATTCCTTTAGCTCTATTTAAAGTTTAACCTTCTGGCTTTTATTAGTTTAAAAGGATGTCAACTTCAATATTAGCCCCTAAGCTGGAGGAAAAAAAATACAAACAGTTGGATTAACTGTGATTATAATTAAATACCGAAATCAGTAAATATTAAAAAAAAATTCTTTTGGCTTACTATTTTTGAATCCGCAAAGTGTGAGTGACCGTTTTACAGATTATTCAGTTATATTAGAAACATAAATAATTTTAAACAAGTCTAATTTCTCTCTTTTGACATTTATTATGGACAAAATATTTGATGATTACTATAAGCACTACTATAGCTGCAAAGCTTTTTATTCGAAATGCAATGCTTTGTTATACAGTGCTAATCCTAATATTTTTGTGTCTATTGATTTTCTGAAAAATATGCAAAAGGGTACCAATACAAAATTAAGAAGCACTCTCTTAAATACTTGCAAAACAAATATAATTGATAAAGAAACATTTATTAGAAATACAAAGAAATAGAAGAAAACCAATATGACAAATTTAAATTTATAAAAATTTAAAAAAAGTTTTTACCAGAACCATAATATGAATTTTAAAAAATACGACAACATTTTAAATAAAATCAATGTAACATTTTTAACTTAAAAAAATATCACATACGTCTTACAAGTGTCGACATTTTTTTTTATAAAATCAAAGCATCAAATTGATATAATACTGGTGCTACAGACTGTTCTAAGTCTGTATAAAAATGGGAAGAAAAATGAAGCTTAAAATGTATAGTTATATACTCGTATTAAAATTTTTTAAGTTAGTATGTGCTCGTTGCTGCAATTCGTATGTACCCCAAAAAACTTAAGTTGCAAATCGGAAAATTTTTTTACCACCTGATGCAACTAGTTGCCATCCTTTTGTCATATGTTCCCTTGTACCAATATTTTAAGAAAAAAAAAATACCCAATAAATGTACCTGTAATAGGTTATCACTTATCATATATGCTAATATCTTTTTCTAATCATGTCGTCTCCGAACTTCTCTCTCAGGGGTTCAATCCATACTATAATTTATAATATCTACTAATTTTTAACTGTATGTAGTTACTTTTGTAATAATAATATATAAAATATTTTAGATACTTTTTACTTCCTATTATTGTTTTATAACAATTATTATAACTAGGGCTCTGAAGTTGGTGCATTTTTTATTTATTTTTTTTTTCGAACTTATTAGACAGTGCTTTTCTGGCCACAAATGTGTTTCAAAAACATGTGAATCTAAAAACTATTTTTTTTTTGCATTTTTCGGTTTTTTTTTACTTTTTAAGTCATATTTTCCTTTTTAATGATATTTTTTGTTATTTTTAGGCCCTATCTTCTTTTTTAGTTCAATTTCTTATATTTATAATTAGGCCTTGTCAATTAACATCTTTACTAGACTTTATACAGCCACACAAGCTGTATATAAGTACCTACATAAAATTTATATTTTACACAAGTTGTAAATGGGTTAAGTAAAGATAAAAATTCGATAGAATAAAGCAATTGCTAGTTGTCATTTTTACTTTTGACAATATAAAATATGCTTTAATAGTACAATGTAATAATTTTGAGTAATTTTTATTATTATTACTATTCTTTTTAAAAAAAAAAAAATGTATTTTTACTACCTAATTTTAAACAAATATTTATAATTTTTTAAGTCATTTTTTAATGTTTTTAAGGTCATCAACTTCTGAGCTCTATTTATAACTAAGTTTTATGTGTTAGAATTATTAACTAATTATAATTATAATTAATAAATAAAACAGTGGCGTTTCTCAGCTTTTTTGCCAACCTGACATTTTCGGTGAAACTTAAAAGCTTAAATCGTCGATTTTTTCGATAGACTAAAAGCGCAAATTCATTACCTATGTGTTTTTGTACCTTGGTAGTGGGATAAAAGCGCAAAATAAATATTGTACCCGTTACGCTAAGTTTCATTTTAAAATTATTAATTATTAGATCAAATTATTCATTCTAATTAAATATATAGTACTCATTTTTATAATTTAAAAATACATCAACAGTGATCGAGTTCAGTTGAAGTTTAATTTGTCATATTTTTTATTGTAAATTAAGGTATAGTGTTTACGATAATTGTGGGGCGACAATGCAAAACGTACTATTTGCGTTTTACATATTTTTCAGGAAAGGTCATTTTCTGCTGTGCATTAAATATTTGAGATATACATGTTGTGAAAATGTTTAAAAATAGATAAAAAAACTATGAAATAAATTTCTGCAGGTAAAAGTATTTTAAAATGTATTTTTTGTACTTAAATATAACTTTTTAAATTTTGAATTGGATCAAAACGTACTATTTACAACAAATGGTACGTTTTGCTTTGATTAACAAAAATAGTACGTTTTGACCAATATTTTTACAAAACGTTTTATTTGCATAAATTACATTTTACAATAAATATAATTTAATATAATTATATGTTAAGAAATTAAAATACTTTGACTCAACTAAGTGTAATAATATTACACTTACTAGTTACTTGTACTTATTCAATTAAGTTTATTTAAATTAAGAAAATATAT